ACAGCGCTCATTTTATCAGTGATACTGAAAACATGGCAAACAAGGATGTTCTATGCCATGAAAACCCAGCCAGAAAGACTCAACTTTGCACCTCGCGGGCCCGCTTTATCCTTCTAGTGCTGTGGCGACGGGCAAGTCACACACCGTCTCTGAGCCTCAGACTCCTCAGGTGTAAAACAAGGATCATCGCACAGCGAGCTCACTGGGGTGTCATGGGGAAAGAGTAGGTTGGCCCTGCAAGAATGGCCGTGTCATGTGGCTAACCTAACGTGCAGTGCTGGTAGCCCACAAAAGCCACTCACTAAGTGACAGCTATTGTCATTACTAATATAAAAAAAAATCATTTTAAAAGTGAAGGACAAAAGAGGAGATAATGCTGCCAGGCACTAATTTCCTTTAGAATCTATCCCCTGAGACACCACAGATCTCTCAACTGTGGTCACTGAACTCTTAAAAAAAAAAACAAAAAAAACCCAAACGCCTTTTTATCTAGAAATCGTTTAAGACTCACAAGAAGTTGCAAACACAGTACAGAGAGTCGCTGTCTATCCTTCCCCCAGCTTCCCCCAATGATCACATTTTACATTGATAGAATACCTTATCCAAACCAGGACACTGACATTTGTCCGAGACAATTATCGACTGAGCTATAGGCTGTATCTGAATCTTACCAGTTTTCACACGCACTCACGTTCACAGTGGTGGTGTATAGATTCATGTAACCACCACCACAGTTGAGATACAGAACTGTCGAGACACCTCCTCTCCTTTATACTCCCACACCCCCTAACCCTAACCCCCAGCAATGACTCCCTTTCGGCTGATTTATTTTTAAACATCTAATGGTTGTTTGCGTTTGTCAAGTCTAATCCACCATGCTCAACCCCTCAATCAAAACTCCAAAACCCTCTTCCACCTTTTATTTCCATATACCAGGGAGAGGGGAACCCATACTTGTGAAGCGCTTATTATGGGCTGGCACTGTGCAAGGAGCTTTTGCAGATTTTATTTCATTTCGTCCTAACTATTCTGGACGGCAGTGAATGATAAGTTACCATTTTGCAGATGAGCCTTAGAGAAGTAAGTGATTCAGCAGGATCTCAACTGGTCTACACGCCGCAGAGCCGGGGTGGCCCGAGTTGGTGTCGTTTCCACCACACTGGCCTGGCCCCCCTGCCCACCGCCCAGGGCTGTCGGCCCACTGTTGGTAAAAGGCTTGATACAAAACTGCTGAAATCCCCTGCTGCCGGCGTGAGTCAATCAGGGGCTGGAACTTTGCTCCAGTTCACCTGTCTCGCTTTTGGAAGGTCAAACCTTGAGTACGTTACTGCCTTAATTATTATTATTATTATTAAAGTAGGTACAGACTCTGGAAGATACCCTGAAGCTTAATATAAATACGTGCATGCCATTAGAATCCAAGAGACATGCCCATTTGGGGAGTTAACATAAAAAGCCCCTTTGATTTGTATTGAAATCTTCTCATCAGCTTTCTGCAAACAGTTCTGCAAAGTACATTTTTTGTGTACTGTGCAAAAACTGAACAATGCAGTGTTCCCTGTTCTGACGGTCTATATGAAGTGACAGGCACATACATAACTGGCTTCTGAATAAATATTAATTCCCCTTTTCTTTGCCTCCCCGCCCCCGAAAGGTGCACTCTTCCCTCTGCCTGAGAACAGCTTATTAAACAAGGTGGTGGAGGGGCCGCGGCTTACTTCCGCGTTTTCCTCTGCACCCACGCCAGCAGGGTCTTGATGGCCTTCCTCTGGTCTTTCACTGATATCGCCACACTCCTCTCCGTGGTGGGTGTGGGTGGGAATGACGAGTCTGAGTCTGTGCCTCCTGAGCCAGGTGACAGGCTGGAAGAGGGAGAGTTTCTGCTGAGGTTGCCCGTGAGCTCTTTAATCTGGAAGGAAAAATGGCATTTCAGACCCCAGAGACGAGTGACCTTCCCAGCACGTGGACCCTGGCTGGCGGGATCAGCTAACACGGAATAGGCTCTCCAGGTGGAGAAGCCCCGTTCTGACGGCTGTGGCTGGCAGTCACGCAATTATGCTCCACAGGGAACATCATCTCCGGGAGTCTCTCCCGCCCTGGCCAGCCACTGCACACAAGGTCTTGCTGACGCGACTCTGCCTACCCCTCTCCTCCCATGGCCTGTCACTTTCAGGATGCATCATACTCTTTCCGGCCACATGGCCTCTGCTCAGCCTGGTCCTGTTGCCTGGCTGTCCCCTTCCCTCCATCTCTGAACTCCTATCATGGGGATGTTTGTGGGAAATGCAGAACCCCAGGCCCTATCCCAGACCTACCTATAAGAATCAGAATCTGCATTTCAATACCATCCACAGGCAGTATGTATGCATAGTCAGTTTGAGAAGAACTGGTATAATGGGCTCCTACTCATCCTTCAAAACCCAGCTCTGCTGTCACTTCCTCCAGGAAGTTTTCCTCACTCCCCTGCCCCAGCTCATAGCTAAATAGCGGTCTGCATTACAGAGTTCTACGATATTGGATTGACACATCTGTGATCCTTTAGTCAAGTGGGCAGGGCCTTGTATGTCCAGCACCTGGCACCTCAGAGAAACTCAATAGACATTTATTAATATGAAACAAGTGAATGAAGCTCTAAGGTGGATTTAAGGTCTTGATTTTTAATACATTTTCAGGATGTTTCCAGAATCTTTCAAAGAGTTTAATAATAGACATCAGTAATGGAAGCCTGTGTATAACACTGTCCAGTTGACAAAGAGCTTTCACATGAGGCTTCTCCTGATGTTCACCACATATTATGATTATTGCTCCCATTTCAGATGTGGAAACCGAGGCTCAGGGAGACAGCCTTTGTGTGTTTAAGTTCAAGGCTCACCCAGAAGAGGATCTGTTGTCTCCCAATCCTGTTTGTGCTCGTTCCTCCCCAAGGTACACATGTTCGGCCAAAAGCCGGAGCAAATCATCCCCACGTGGGCCCGTTTTACTCTTGGGAGGGCAATCAAATAATGAACCAGGGTTTTCTATTTCGAAAGATGTTTTAGAAGACGAGATATCAGTTCACCCCTCCAGTCAGGGAAATTGTACTCGAGCACAATTTAAAATGCCACCTTCTTACTCCAAGCACAGACCCAGTCCTTCCTCAGTAAGATCTGCATTTCCAAACACAGGCTGAAGCTGCAAAGGAGGGAACAATAAGGTCTCATCTGTCACGTGCTCCTCTTCCTGGGGTATCTTTTTTTAAATTTACATCTTATTCTCTATTTATTTTCATTAGATTCCCATTGGTCAAGCCCACCTAGGGCATCTAGTACAGGCTCTTCAATCGTCTCTAACAACCACTCAAGTAATTTTAGGAAAGTAACTCCACCAAGTTTAATTTTCGGACCGAAGTGACACTTTAGAACAAAGGTATTTTTCAAAGTAAATATTTAACTCTTCAAATCCTAAGAGGATAGATATTATTTTCTAGAAAACAAAGCTCACATCACTTTTAAAATCACAGGGACTCAAACATTTCAGCAACCAGATTCCTCTGGAGCTTTTTCAGTGACTAGAAAAGACAGAATCTGCCAGAAACTGTCTCCCTGCCCGCCTTGATCTGGCCCTGCTCTGTTCTGTCGGTGTTCAGCAGATTCGAGACAGTTACTGTGTGCTACAGAAAGGAAATTATTTTACCTGGAAGAAGAGAATTATGTTCCATATCAGCCCAAGAACCAAAGAGGGGTTGCCATCCGCTATTTCTGCTGCATCGATGCTAACCAGTTTTACCTGGAGGGAAGCAATTTAGGAGCTTAACGGGGGGTGTCCAGGGAGTTTGACGCACGGTATTTTCTGGTATTCCCAAGAGCCTGTTTTTCTTGCTTATCCTGTCACGCTGAGGGACACTCAGCATGCAAAAGTATATTTAATGAACTAGGTACATAGTACTTACCCTGTGCACACACTATCCCAAACTCCTTACAAGTATTAACGCAGTTCACCCTCACAACCACCCCATAATGTAGGTACTTCTATTATCCCTGTAGTTCAGGTGAGGAAGTTTCAGAGAGGTTAAATAACATGCCCAGGGTCACACAGCGAAGAAGGTTTCAGACATTCTTTTCCAAGGAGAGACGGCAAATGCCCAATCAGTCTGCCTGCTACACTAACCCCACCAAAGCTGGCTTTAGCACGTCCTTGGGATAAACACAGAGCACCAACGTCGGCAGTCACAGACTGTGGATGGTACGTCTGCTGCTAATTAGAAGTGGTGTGCTGGGTAAGGCTAATACCCAGAGTTTCTGCACCATTACAAAATGCCCTGCTAATTGGTTAAAATGCGCCTCGTGTAGAAACCCTTAGGGAATGACCTATATACTGAACTATGTTCTGACTGCAGAATGACTCTCTTGGAAAAGCCCTAAGGCCAAATTGGCCCCTAGACCAGCAGCATCAGCATCACGTGGGCGCTGGTTAGAATCGCACATTCTCCCCTAGACCTACAGAACCAGGACCTCTGGGGGTGGGGCCCAGCAATCTGCATTTTAACAAGCACCCAAGGTCATTCTGATGCACACTCCGGTTTGGGGATCACTGCCCTGAGTCATCATTTCATTCTGCAAACAAAATCTAAGTACTGTGCATAGACCGGGGCTCTGCAAACCCCTCCAGAGACGGCCAGAGAGTAAGTATTTAAGCCTTTGCAGGCCACAATAGAAGAAAATCTCACATTTTCTTCTTCTTTCTTAGGAATCCTTAAAAAATGTAAAAATCATTCTTCAGGGGGAAGAGAGGAGGAATAAAGTAAGTCAAGATACACTTTCAAATCCACACTGCAGAATTCCGCCTGGGAGACTTGGGAAAGAAAACCGAGGACAGCATCTCACGCAAACACTTTTCTTTTTCCCTCACGTCTTTCCTCCCTCCCTTCCCCTCGTGGCTCTTTAAACTGTTTGACACCAGTCTCCGATCCCATCAATTTGTCTTGGGTTTCTGACAACACCAATCGCTCAGGCCTGGGCTCACCTAATTGAGGGAGACTTCTGGGTTTCCTGGCTGAAGTCTGTTTTGCCGGCTGATGCCAAGAATCTAATTCAGACAACGCAGGCTCATCACCGGCAGGCTGGAGGCCAGGAAGGAAGTTGTCAATATTGCGAATAACACAGCCGATCAAGTTCAGGTCCAATATTCCACCCACATTCGTCACGAGCACACGTCCCGCGTGATGAATCACTTGCGAGTCTTGGCCTGCTTATCTCCCAAAGCTCTGCCTCTGACAGCTCCCTCCATTTCTGTGGTTGACTGAACACATTCCAGGCCAGGGGAATCAAAGCAGTTAGTCAGCTCGATCATCTCAACTTGTGTGCCCACCTAGAGGAAGCCCACATGGCAGGTGACATCTGTGGCCCTCTGAGCTGAGGTTCCAAAGTGAGAGAGAGATGGAGCTGTCTTGCAGCGGTGCCACAAATATAAAGGTGCACCATCCCGAGAGGGGGAAGGGGAGGGTTGGGGAGGGAGCAGGTGGCTCCTGGGAAGGCCACTTGGAGAATAAAGCACTCTGCTGGCCACGAGGTACAGAGAGCCTGGCCGAGGGAAGGTGGCGACCGCAGGTGGTGGTCCAAGGCCCCAAGGAGCAGATGTTCCCAAAGACCTTGCTTGGGTGCCCAGCCTCTATTTTGTTTCTGGGGGTGAACAGATAAGTTAACAGACTTCAGTCAAGAGCTTCAGGGACAACGTCTTCCTCTTCTTCCTCCTAACTCAGCTGGTTTTGCCAGACCGAAAACAGGTGGATCAACTGGTTTGTGGGAATTTCTTCTCCCTCTCTGGGCTGGCACATCTAGGGTGATAACTTGGGGCCTAGTGAGTGACAATGGCCATGATGATAACGGCTTCCCCCGTGGAGCACTGACTGAGCACCTGCCAAGAGGTTTCCACGGTTAATTTCTTTAATGCTCAAAATACTTCCATTTCATAGACGAGGAAGCTGAGGCGCAGAGAGGTTGAAAGACTTGCAGGAGGTCACAGAGCCGGTTCTGTGGGGCGGCCCACCTCTGACGGGCGAGTAAACACTCTGCTCTGTGGCACACGGGGGTGGAGAAGAGAGGGAGGGACACCGACGGCCACAACAGCTGACTGCATTTGAGTCCCGGCTGCTGCTCGGCGTTGATCACCCAGCTCTGGGCACCGCCTGTCCCTTCCTGGAGCTGGGACAGTGGGACGGGAAGGGACCTGCAAGGGCCCACGGAGTATTTTGGGGATCCCAGGAACGGGACAGAGGTTGCATCTGAAATGCTTGTCTCACTCTGCTGTGCTCACCTTCCCACAGTGGCATCCACCTGTCCTACCTGCCTAGTGAATGGGGCCAAAGGGGGCACCAAGCTGATGAAATACACACACATTTGGACTATTTCTGGATGTTTAAAAAAATAAATAAAGGGAAGGGGAGGTGCCTCTAATGTTCCGTTGTATTAACACTATGAGGCAGCTATTGCAGACAGTTCAGGAGATAGTCACGGTGCGTTACAGAAGGGCAGGCCAAGCCTCCACAGTACACTTCCGTGTCAGCACACCTGTGTCCAGGCTGGTCCCCTCCCCCGGCTCAGATGTCCGTCTCTTCCTCTGTAGGATCATCCCTCCTCTTCCTGTCCCTGGTGTGACATGCAGCACGTTGTTCCTGTGAGGTCTCTTACCCCTGACCCTAAGCACGTTGAAGGTGTTTCTAATGCACCTCTTTGTCCCCAACGCTGAGCACAGCCCCAGGCCCACAGAAGACACTTGGTAAATGTGACCCAAATGACTGCTGGAAGTAAACCTACGACCTACCTGGGTAATTCTGACTAGTGCAGTAGCAGAGTGTTGCCTACATTCTATCCGACTCCCCAGCATGGGCACGAGGAGGAAGAGAGTATTCAGAGGTCTGCAAGGTGGAAGGAAGAGCTGACGCATCCGAGGCAGCTGTCTAAAGGCCCCACATTATCACAGAAGCCATGCCCCTTTGCAATTCGGGGCAGACACTGCTAAGAGCCACACGTGATAGTCTCCTGGGAGCAGGTGGACTTCAGGCACACTTGCAGTCAATCGGGTGGGTAACGTAGCAAGAGCTCGAGAAACCACTCCGTGCCAGAGTGTGGCCAACCTCTACCCGGACAGGCCATTCAGTCCTCAACAACTCTCCGAGGTAGGTTTTGTTTTTATCTCCTCTATTTTACCAATGGGGAAACTGAGGCCAGAGAATTGACATGGCCTCAGTTCCCGGAAGTGAGCGGGGAAGGCAGGATTGGGAGCAGAGGCAGCTGCGCTCCGGGACGGTCGTGTTGGGGCAGGGCTGTTGGTTTAACCGACTCTGCACACAGGGAGCCTTTTCATGGACAGGGGACGGGTTTTCCTTCGAACAGCTTTTTTGAGATATAACTCGCATCCCAGCCTATTTGCTCACTGGAAGTGTACAGTTCTGCGGTTTTCAGTGCACTCACAGATATGCGCAAGCATCACTTTGGTCAATTTTAGAACATCTTCAGCCCCTCTAAAAGAAACCCCGTACCCGTACCTGTAAGCTGTCACCCCTCATTCCTCATCTCCCCCAGCCCTAAACAACCACCCATCTACTGTCTGTCTCTAGAGACCTCCCTGTCCTGGACACTGCATATGAATGGAGTCAGATGATTAGGGGTCCTTTGCGTCTGCCTTCTTTCACTTAGCATGTTGTCAGGCTTCATCCACGTTGTAGCATGTATCAGTGCTTCATTCCTTTTAAGGCTGAATAACATTCCATTGCATGGAGAGACCACATTTGATGATCCAATTGTCCGTGGATGGCCACGTGGGTTGTTTCTGCCTTGTGGCTACTGTGAATAGTGCTGCTCTGAACCATGATGCGATTCTTGGCCACCACTATCTGAGTCTCCCCCCATGTCTGGGACCCAGGCTTGTCAGCCACACGGTCCTGTCCAGGCCTTCGGATCTGGATATGTGACACTGAGATGACGACGAAATAGAGAGCTTTCCTTCCCCAGGCAGTGGAGGGGCTGCAGAGGCAGTGGGGGCAGGGCAGTGGGGCTGTGCTCACGCCGTCTCTGTGGTGGTCCTGGTGCTGAGCATCCCTGCGTTCTGTCCCCGGTTCCCCAGTCTTTCAAGTCACCCTGTGAGCTACTCAGTGTCTTTTCAACAAATTGCTCTTCTGCTTAAATCAGCCAAGGCCAGTTTCTGTTACCATGAAGAACCCTGGAAGAATCACGCTTTACGATAAAGTTTTGCTGTACGTGCCTACCTGTCAGGCAGGCTGAGGGTTTTTTTAAACTTAGATTAATTGCTGAAACCTAACAAAAGGGGAGCTTTGGAACGTCATCCCTCTTGGGCCACCGCTTCCCATTCATGAAGGGGGTGAAGCAGAGTTCCAGACACATACAAAGCTCACTTAGGTCTACAAAGTTGTATCAAGGAAGGGGGAATTTTGTCATTTTTTTCCCCTGGTTCATTTAGCCCTCTTTCCCCTTAGCTCCTCCCATATTCTAAGCTCTAGAGAAAGTTTTACACTCTGACGTGCTCACCATCCTCTTAGTCAAGGGAATGAACAAAAAAATGCCCACTAAATTCTAAAGATCTGAGAGCCAGTCAGCCGCTCGGCCCTTTCCGTGGCTGAACGTCCGCCAGAGTTTTAATCCTGATGGATTCAAGGAGGTGGGCAGGGAGTCGGGGACCATATTCCCAACCGATGGCTTATTTAAGTGATTTCTGTTAGACTTCAGCTTAGTTTGACTATTTTAGCAGAGGCCCTTTCACGCTTCTCTCAACCACCAGCCCTTAACTTCAAATTATGTCCTTTTCCTGACACAACAAGTTTGTGTTAACAAGACGTGCTTCAAACACTTACGTTGCTATCTTCCAAAAACTTAAGTGCTTTCGCTATGTTGTTCAACCGAAAAATACGATGCGACGAGGATTTGTATTCGTGCAGCTGTGAAATAGAACAGAACAGAGCAGCAAGTCAAACCAGCGCGGGCCTTAGGAATGCCCAGTGGTGCCGGCGGGCGTGCTGTCCTTTCTCTTTACCTTTCCCACGTTAATGTGAAGAAAAAGTTAGGGGCTCAGGGCTAAAGCCCACCTGGACCGCATCCAAACTCTTGCAGGTGCGTCTCAGGACCTACGGTCGGGACATCAGAGGGCCCTCGAAGTCGGCCTTACTGACAGAACTTGGGACTTAACTCGCTGGGGTCGGTGAGCGTGGGGAGCCAAGTAGGTTAACAAGGGACAAATTTGTCAAATTTCTCTCTCCGACCCAGCTTCTGGCTTGTTAGACTCCTCCCTTCTCCAGAGACTTCAGTGACATGCTCTCCTCACTGACCGATGCCTTGCTAGGGCAGCGAGCCCTGGATGTCTGCATCACCGCTCAGATGCTAAATCATCTGGCAAAGTCCCTCCCCAGTGGCAGCAGATGTTTCTGTCTTCTGGCCAAGAGTTTTGAAGACAGTTATCCCAGGTCACGAGAGAGAGAGAAAGAGAGAGAGAGACGTAGCAGGGTAGGTCTGCAGAAGCTAAAACTCTCTGACAACGTGAGCTCTGCATACCAGGAGAGCCACCAGAGCAAACTTACCCCCAGTGGAAGCTCGTCGGTGCTCCCGGGTGGGGTGGGGGTTACGTTACAAGGCAAACCAGTGGGTCGGTTCCGCCAGGTGTAAACTGCCAGGCCCAGCTAGTGGGAACATGGAGGCCTGTTCTCTACCTGGCTCCAGAATAAAAGACACCCAACAGAGGCCCCCCAAGGACATGGCAGCTGGTGACTGGTATGCTGGCAACAAATTGGGGGGCCTGTATTGCCGGGAGCACGGGACAAGGGACCAGAATACACTTTTTCAGGAAGCCTTTTGCTGGCTCATTGCAAGACTTGCTAAGAAACCGAATACTACTCTTGCTGCAATGAGTCCGTCTTTTATTAGAATTCATCACACAACTCTGCACAGCCCCTCTGAGTTCGGCTAACAGGCCTCTCCCATCTTGCTGTCAGGAAAGCAAAGGCGGGAAGGGTTAAGAGGTCTCATAAGAGTCCAGCCACATTACATCTGAGAGCAGAAGCAGGGGCTCTTGACTTTGGACCTACAGTTAAAAACAGAATCCGGAGACCTCCGTGCGGCTGAGTTATGATTTGGTAGAGCCATGACCCCCATCACTGCACCTTTGTGTTAGGCACGATGATGGGTCACCGAGGCCAAATCAAATGCTTGACTCTAGAAGAGGACTTCTCAACCTTGACACTAGGGCACTGTGAACTGGATCAGTCTGTCGCTGCAGGGAACATTTGGCAATGTCTGGGAGCATCAGACCTGGGCGTGCTACTAGCATTTATTGGTTAGGTACTAAACATCCTGCAATGCACAGGACAGCTCCCCACAGGGAAGAACTATCTGACCCAAAATGTCACCAGTGCCAAGGTCGAGAGACCCTGCACTATGTCAAAGAGAAAAAGGACCAATCTGCACACAGCAGACATGCAACACAGAGAGCAGCATGAATGTCTAGATCAGCTGATTTAATTCAACTTCAGTCACACTGAACACATTGACTGCACAATGGAAAAAAATTTTTTCCTTGGGGCCACTGTGCTTTATTATGAAAATAGAATAAAAACTTCAAAAACAAAACGATCCTTTCTAATTTAATGAAAAATTTGTTATTTTTTATTGTTTTCCGTGCGTGAGTTATACACAACTTGAAAAATGATTCAATATAGTTCACGGGCTCCCAAGGTGAAGAGATGTAAGTTACATATGCTTCACGAGTCCCCAGGCTCAAAAACTATGTGAGTTAAATACAACTCACAGGGCAGTTAATGTGTTAAAAGAATATTCTAGAAGCCTCGTTTTTAGCCTTAGGGTGTATAACAGAATTTGGTTGATAAGAGGCCTTCCTCTTTAATTTTTCCAATTCTTGGTCATCATTCTAGTTAATATAATGGCTGGCTGCCTACATTTTAATTGTCTAGTTCTAAGCTTAAGCCTTAATGACTCACAGAAAATACTTGGCATTTATTTATTTACTAGAATATATTTGCTTTTAAAAAAATAATACCACATAGTTACACAAGATTATATGACTCTTAGTCACTGGTAAAGGAATGCTACCCTTCAAAGTTTCTCGTTATAACATTTATGTGTGCCCAGGTGTGTGTACATACATATATCTGTATTGAAAAGAAACCTTCAGCAGTTGTTTTCCTTTGCATTTTACTTCTTTCTGACCCTTCTGTGACATACGTACCAGATTTCGCCCAGACAGGACTTCTAACAAAGCCATTAGGATTTTGCCATCTTGTATATCAACAAATAAATCTCTAACTTCTAGAGGTGGGTTGCACTACGGAAAAGAAGGGAAGAAAGTAGCTGATTAGTGATTGGTATAATCCACAAAACCATTTCAGAGATGCAGGTTTCAGCACAGGAGAAAACTTCCAAACATCCAGCTCTGTCTACAGGTGGAAAAGCCCATTGCAGGAGGTAGCAGGCTCATCCCCCTGGAAGTGATACCCAGGCGGCAGTGCACGGCCACTTGGCAGGACAGCTGTGGAGAAGATTTAGCAGCAGGGGGCTCATGGAATAAGTGACCCTTGGGGACACTTCTAACCTAAGGTCTTAGATGCCAAGATTAGATCACATCCATATTTCTGCTTAAGGGTAGAAAGAAATGGCATGTCTTGACTATCGCCTTCTATAGAACAAAATAATCCTATTAGGTCTTGCATGAAATTACCTAGTGCAAGCCCTTCACTTCATATTTGGGGAAACTGAGGCTCAAAGAGGCCAGGTAATGGTCCAGCATTTGGTCGAGTTGGCTGGTGTCCTGTTTCCTGCATCAGGCCACACTGGCTGAACACGAGTGCACGCAGATCCGTCCCGTGATGTCATGACCCTGGGTCAGTTACTCTCCAGGCTTCAGTCCGGATGTCGGCAGGGTTCCCTCACCCCAACACTGCTCCAGTCTCCACACGTGCACCCTCCTTCATTAACAGTCCAAGTCTGGAGGCCGTGGGACCCTCAGCAGACGAAGCCAGGAAGGTGGCTGGTGTGTGTGACTTGGCAGGGAGGTTGGGGGTGGATGGACACACAGCTGAACTGCTGAATGGCTGGGTGGTTGGGTGAAAGGGGATCCTTCTTCACCCCCACGTTTGTAGTATTATTAGGAACTGAAAGGCTGAGAGGTCTATTTATATGTACCTGTGTATGTTTACATGAATTTATATGCTTAGGTACAAAAGTAATACAAGTTCATTATAACAAATCAAACTAATTAAGATTGTACCCCCAAAAAGCTGCATGCCACCCCCCATTCCTCCACAAAATTCAAGCTTCCTGAGAGAAACCAACATTACATCAGTACGTACCTTTCACAGGATACAATAAAAAGCAAGGAGGTTAGACACACCTGAGTTCAAATCCAAGCTCCACCCTCAACAGGAACTTGGCCTTGGCCCTGTTCCTTAACCTCCGTGGGCCTGAATGTCCTTGTCGGCAAGGTCAGGTTAGGCAGGAGAGGGCTGGGCTAGAATGAAATGAGATCCCGCAGGTAAAGTGCCTGAGACAGCACCTGCCTTCCTGGGTCAGTTCCACCGGCTGACTGTTAGGCGGCTGCCTTCCTGCAGAATCTTGGGACGTCCTCTTTAGTAAAGCATTTCATTGGGGGTGGGGGTGGGATACACCTCATGGCTATAAGAGGAAGGGAGATGTCCTCAGCCAGCTGGCTGCCCCTCTGTAGTGAACACTCTTGAATCATCCTGCTTGCACTGCTTCCTAAGTTCCCTGGGTCAGCAAACAGCCCCATGTCACCCAGCCCCTCTCCCAGGAGGAAAAGGCAAGTCTCCAAACAGGATCTGGAGTGTGGAGGGACACCTGAGTTGGAAAGAGCCAGAAGCCACCTGAGCTTCTCTCTTTGCACCTAGACTTGGAGGGGTCTGCTGTCCAGGTGAGCTAACACTTGCGTGGTTCCATGTGGCATCCACTAAGAGCTTGGCTAGACGTGGCCTGGAGTCTGGGGAGTGGCTGGTGGGTGAGATGCGCCAGTGCAGGGATTTGCAAACTATGTTTCCCGGAACCCTAGGCTTCAGGGCACCCTATGAGGGGACAGCAGGGTTGAGGAGGCTAATCCCACTGCACCCCCTTTAATCAGAGGCTCAGCTCTTACTTGCCCGTACAGTCATCCCTTGGATATCAAAATCTGTGGATGCTCAGGCCTTGATATAAAGTGGCATATTTGTATTAATATATAACCTAGGTACATCCTTCCATATGCTTCCAGTCATCTCCAGATTACTTATAACACCTAACTCAACTTAAATAGTTGTTACAATGTATTGTTTAGGGAGTCGGGACATGAAAAAATCTGCACATGTTCAGCACAGGCACAATTTTTTTTTTCTCATTATTTTCAATCCGCAGTTGGTTGAATCCACGGATGCAAAAGCCACAGACGTGGAGGGATGAGTATATTTAGGGTTCCAGGTAATGCTTTGCCCGAAGAAAGGTTTCTGCAGACTGAACAGGCTTTATGGTAACTCCTCTGAACGCAGCACGGTTAGGACAAACTTACTGCACAAGAATCCCAGGGAGCAGGGTCCAGAAACCTGCATTCTTAACCAGCTCCCATGCCAGCAAGAATTCCCCGTCTACCTTCTGGCACTGGGGGCGGCGGCAAGGTTAGAGCAGTTAGTCTGGGTGCTCCCTCCTGGGTACGAGGGAAGGCTGGCATTCACATAGGAGACAGGACTAATGGGGCGAGGCGCCCCTGGGGCCGGTGTGGTAGTGGCGGCTGCAACCAGCCAGGAAAACCTCGGAAACACAATGGAACTGTGGCCCAGCCAGCCTTTTCCTTCGGGAAAGCCTCTTTCCCGTGGCAGCCTTGGAGGGTCTGTGTTTTATTTTTTATTAGGGAAGGTGGCATTTCCTTGCCCTTTATATGAGTCCCCTTCTCCCCCGTTAGTCAAAATACAGGGCGATTCCACCCACAGGTGCACAGAAAAGGGCTTCACTTCAAGGGCAACAGTGACTTTGAAGCAAGAGGCAAATTATTTTCTTTGCAAACTGCCGCAGCTCCTCGGGAACATTCCACGCTGAGCATGACGGCATCGGGTTACCGAGGCTCTTGCGGAAATGTTATTCCTGTTAATGCGAGGCAGAAAACGCGAGACCCGAACAAAATACCCCCTGATAAATGGACTAACAAAATTTCCAGTTACCAGTCCCAATCGTGGCCAAGCCTCACTTCTGAGTTAAACCTGAAGAATAATTTCCACTGACAGTTCCTGTAAGGGCCTCGGCCGCAGCGGCAAACGGGGCCTTGGCCGGGGTCCATCCCGAGAGATGGCAGGAGGAGAAATTGAACCCGCGCCAGCAAAAACACTCCTCGGGCCCCAAACACTCCGTGGGCTTCATGAGATTGGTATGGCCGAATAAACAGCACCCCCAGGGCTTTCTTCATGATCTAACTCCTTCGGTAAATTAAGGAATTTTTCCAGAAGCCAGAGACTCAGTAAATATTTCTGACAGCCTTCAAATTGCAGTTAAGCCCAATTCACCAAGGAGTTCCTGGGTTTCCTTTACATGAAAGGTTGTTCTTGAAAGTCTCAAGGTTGGAAACATGGCTGTTAATTTTGCCCTGTTTATTAGGCATCGGTTTCAGGTGCTATCTGATTTATCTTCAGAGTGGGCGCTACCCACCTGCCCGGGGAAAGGGGCAGGAGATCGGCCAGGGAGAAAATCCTGGATATGATAAAAGCTAACAGAGGCTCATTTCGGGGGGTGAGTGAGTACGTGGGTATTTGTTACCTGAACCTCTGTACGCTTCTGTACTTTTTTTTTAATTAAAAAAAAAAGAGAGAAAAATACTCCATGGCTATACTCTGTCCCCCAGCAGGAATTTCCAGCTACCCTGACACACATCAGGCATTAATTTAAGAGTTCAGTGATCTCAGGTTTGGGGACCGGTTTTCCTTTTTTTTTTTTTTTTTTTTCTCAAAAATAACATTTCGCTTTATGAGCATTACCAAAAATGTACCAACAGTCAAAACAACTGGCAAATGATTTATAACACTTCATCCACGATACATAGTCTTTCACCCATAGAATTCAGGATGCTCCTGGGCTGGGTGGCGGCACCGTGCGGCCCGAGCTGTAGGCAGGGAGCAGGGAAACGGTCTAGGCCTGCAGGTAAACTATGTGAATTAGGATCGTGGTCATGAGCGCCACTTCCTAAAAGTCGTATTTATTTTCTCTGCTTTCTAATCATTTCAATGATTTCCTCCAAAAACCTTTCTTTCTTGTTAACTATAAGGGCAGTCAATAGTAACTTTTGTACCTTTTAAGAGAAGAGGAGAGAAGAAAATAGACATACCTAACCCATAAAGGTGGGGTGCTACCAGCTTAAAAAGGAAACGAGACTATTTGCTCAGTATGGTTAGAGAACCAGACATTGGTACTTAGGGAGAAAGAGGAGAAGTGAGTCAAATAAATCAACTTTCTGAGAAAGAGAAAAATCATCTCTCCTCTCCCGGACGTGGGCGATTTAGGATGTTCATGGTCTTGGGGTCCGACCTAGTGTGTAAGGAGGGTTGGGATTCTGTTCCCTCCTCTCCCCCAGAGCTGTCTGTCCTCCCATATCGCGGCCTCTCCTCTGCAGCTCTTCCTTTTGTCTCTTTCACGGGGCTACGGGGAGCTGTTGCAGCTGCTGTTGAGGGACGGTGCGTGCTTGAGAAGCTCGCAGACAAAACGCAACCCGAAACAGCCTGGCCAAAGAATGCAAGAGAAAAAGAAACGGGAAGAGAAGGGCTACTACGTTAAACACACAGGAGAAGCCACAGAAAGTTCAGGAAAGCCGGGTAACATCTCCATGCCTCTGTGTCCTCCTTCTGACAGGAGGCAGGTAACGGGTTGCCATAGGGATCAGAGGAGACCGGTGTGTGCGTGGCACTAGCAGGACGCCTGATGCACAGCGAAGTGTGTCAAAGGGGTAGGTAATGTGCCTCATCGGCAGCAACGCTGTACGATTAACAAGGGAGTGTGGCTTTGTTAAAAGACATCCAGAGTTTCTGCATAAATCAATCCAAAGACCTACGCATGGCCCTTAACAGAGCCGCATACTGGAAGTCAACTTACCTATGCGTGTTTGAGGACCACCACCTCCTGCCTATGGAAGTGTCAGGCTATTCAACAGTGAATGTCTTCCAACATTTGCTCACGGATTCCTGCTTAAAGACAGAACCGCCTTCCTTCTCCCAGCTAGATTGATAATCCCTGGAAGGCAGAACGGTGTCTTCCTCACCTCTTTGTGCCCAACACCAAGCTTGGTACCTGGCAGCGAGTGGCCCTCATGAATGTTGACATGAATGAGCGACATCCAAAGAACAGAACCCCAGTGTCCCTCAGCACTCTACGGAACCGCAAGCTGGGCTATGGATGAATCTATCACCTGACGAACACCCAAGTGCCCACTCACCTTTCCTAGGTGTAGATTTATCCACCGAGTAAAGGTCCTCTTCTGCACATTTTCCCTCTCAACTGAAAACAAAGGACTGCCGTTAGCGGGGAGGAAAGAAACACGTGCAAAACCCCCCCTCCCCTTCCTGGGGGAGGCTCTACGTGGGTGGATTCTAGGTGGACGTAGGAACAGAGCCGTTCCCCTCCCAGAAGAGGGGCTGACAAGGCCTTATGTAGACCCAGAGCCCATGCTCCCAGCCCAACTCCTGAGCGTCTGCGTAAACCCACCGATTCAGACACACAGAACACAGACGCACGCTGTTCTGCACAACCTACCAGGAACACTTAGACGTTTGGCTCTCCAGGGTAAGCAGCACTGGGGAGAAAGTGCAAATTAACCCCCAAGGCAGTGACAGTGTTGCATAGCCGCCTAGTCGGGTGAGGGGGTCTGAGGAGCTGGGCTAGAGAAGAGACAGGGTGGGGTCAGTGACTACGAATGGGGAGGGGGGCTCCGGAACGTGCCAGCGTGTGCTGGAAAGAACTGGACAGCCCTGGGCGGGCTCTGAGAGCCGTCGTCTCCTGGCGTTGGTGCCTGGGCCAGTCCCCCACCCTGTCTGATCTGCACACCGAGGATCCTCGGGCTGCTGTAAGGACACCCAGGATGCCGCATCTCAGACCCGACACAACCCCTGGCACAATGGTTGCTTTTTTTTTTTTTTTTTTAATTTTCTTCCTTTGTAGGTATTATTTTCAGAGCCCGGGAGGACTTTCTGCCCTCCAGGAAGACAGCTCTGCAGGCACCTGCCGCTGAGCTGCGCTGAGCTGCGCTGAGCTGGAAGGACATAAACTGGGAATGGATCCCTTCTCCCAGGGCAGAGCACTACCCACCCATATAGGCCTCTTGGCGAACATCTTTCATCATCAAGGGTTACTGCCATCCACCAAGCACGAATGGCATCCCGGATACTTTGTTCTCACTCATCTTTAAACCTTACGAACCTCCCCTGCAACGCAGAAACTATTATTTGAGAGATGAACAAAACGGGGCTCAGAGAGCTACAGCGACTTGCTCAGGCCATCGGCCGGAGAGAGGCAGAGCGGGGAGTCCCCCTCAACCCCCCGCCCCAGGCCTGTCTGCCCCACATCAGCCGGCACCCTGGAAATGGAGGGCCCGGGTTTGAATTCCAGCTCCTCCAATCATGGCAAAGGTGTCTGCAACAATAATTATAGTGATTTTTTAAAAAACCGAGTGAGCACTGGCATGTGGTAGGCACAGACCTAGGCCCTTTACACGCATTGACTAGTTTAATCCCTACAAAACCCGCTCAGCCACGTACTATTATAACCTTCAGGCTTAGAACCGGAGGTCATGGAGATGCCGCAGCTTGCCCAGGCTCACGCAATTGGGGAGGCGACTGTTTCTATCTTATAAATGGAGACACCGAGGGGCGGTTAACAAGCAGCCAAGTTGGGACTCTGCTTTTTCCACTCCTTCCTGAGCTCTGTGGCCTTAGCTGTCTTAGGGTCCTCGAGGATCCCGAGGGTGCTTCCAAGGTGGGTGCCGGGGCCGTGTCTGGCCCGGGGGCACGGAGGATGCGGCAGTCTCCCCAGCCTTCAGGCTGCTATGCCTCTCAGGAAGCTTCCCTGAAATGTCTGAGCCAGACGACTCCTAAATTACTAAGTTCTGGATTTCAGCATATTGAAAGAACATATCACATATGCCTAAAACCATTTCATATTTCTTTAGCAATAAGAAAATGAGAGCCAATTCATCTCCTGGGGGAGAAAAAAGGCTATGGTTTTCTGTTAATGACTACGCTACTTTCTTCCTCTCAGCCTCATTATTAGGTAGATAGTGGCACCCATAAATCACATTTTAATATTGTGCCTTTCAATCTTTTTAATTGAAGAGGCAGCAGACAGTAATTATGCCCATAACCGCTTTTTTCTCTCATTTTCCTCCTTTTCTGTAAGGGAAGGTCACTGGCAAGTAGGCATAAGAATTAAAGATTTAATTCCAGTAAACTGTGTTCCCTGGGTAGGGAGGGGAGAGACAAAGGAAAGGAAGTTGATAGAAATGAGGTAGGGAGAGGAGGCATTTGCCGAGTCTGGTGAGTCCCAGACTCTCAGAGACTTCCAGAAGCTTGGAGAACATCCTGTTCCGAGCCCCACTTGAGATCTTTCCACCTCTGAACACCCAGATCTACCTCATTCTCTCTGACGGCAGTAGTGTTTTCCACAGGCTGGGTGTTCTCCGGTTTAGTGACCGTCCCCTGCTCATGGACACTAAGGCTACGTCCAGTTGTTCATTTTGAGAGGCAATGCAGCGACCAGCATCCTTATACAAGCATCCCGGTGCATGGTTCTTTGTACACAAATGTATGAATGTATTTTTTACACTTGACAACTAAAAGTGGAACTGCTGGGTCTTAGTGGTAGGCACATTTAAAATTTTAATAGCTACTTCCAAATTGCTCTCCCACAAGGCTGTCCCAGTTTATACTTTCACCCCCACCTGTCTTTAAACGAGTTTATGGGGACTGTAAAGTATTTACACACACATTCAAACACTCAGGCTGGTTTCTCCATATGGCTTCAGAGAGAGCAAAGTATACGCCCTGAAACAGAAGTGCATTTAGTAGAAGCCTAAGGGAACCTGGGTTAGGCCGCTAGTTTAACTGCACTCGAGGGTGCAAATGAGGAGGTGGGTGTTTGTTGGTCTACGCGTCTATCCACTCACTCACCCATCCATCCATCCATCCATCCACCTGCCCATCCAGCCACACACCTGTCCATCTGTCCATCTGTCCATTTTTCCATCCATCCACCCACCTGTCCATCAGTCCATCCATCCGTCCATCCATCCATCTCCCAGCCGATATTTTATGAAGTGATTCCTATATGCTAGGAACTATGACAGTCTCTATGGGCAAAATCAGAGATGAAGAATTAAGTATTCACGGAATCTGCATGCCAAGAATTCACAGCCAAGTAAGAGGGTGAAAACGTGGATGTCACAAGGCACTTATGCAAGAAGAAATGGATTAGAAATGCCAAGAGTTGATGGGAATGGGAGGAGGTGACGTCAGGCCCATGGGTGCTCCTCCAGGGCCCCACAGCAGAAGTGGGACAGGCAAGGGCACGCGAAGGCAAAGACTGTGTGCTCTAACCCTGCCCTGATTCAGAGCCCGCCTCTTGATGGCTTAACTCCCACTGCAGCCATGGCCACTGGTCGAACCTGAGCACATCCGCGGGAGGGACAAGGTGATGAGTGAGGGACCCCAGAGGACCCTAAGACTAAACCACAAATAGCAGACAAGTCCCAAACTGAAGTAGGCTACGGAGACCATATTTTCTGGACCTAAAACTGGGACACATTGCTCAATACACGACAGAGACACTGCGAGAACTCGAGCCTGCCCCAGAATATCTGCTTCGGTCCCACACGCCACTAGCTCTGCGACCTTGGGCAGGCTCACAGCTGTCAAAATACTTCTGCCTCGGTCTCTTCTCTACAGAATGAGGCTAGCCACGCCTCCCTCGCAGAATGCTACAGAGACGAAATGAGATCACCCCAAAAAGCATCCCCTATAGCCGCCCCCTCAAGGCCAGTTTCCCCGGCCCCCACAGTCACGCAACGTCGCCTTGGGCTTGGGTATTTTGTCTGGCGTCTCGACACAGAGGTCGTCCACTCTTTCATGGCCTTCTCCGTCTTGAAACACCCACCCCCGTCCTGCAGACCGTTCCTACTTCTGGCCTGCCAAGACTCCATAAACTTTATATAGTTTCCATAAATCCAACGGCCCCTTTTTTCCTATCACGTTGTAAAGGTGTAGGAAACCATTTCTCTGGAAGGGTCTGGCCTTCTCACAGAGTGTTTGTGGGGCCCGGTGTGGGTTTACTGGGCAACAATAGAGTAATAACAGTGCTGTAAAATCGCCATCCCCCCTCTGCCTGGCTGGCCAGGGTGCCAGTGTGGGGGCGGGGCGGACGCGGAGGAGCCGGCCAGGCTGGGCTCCGGGGGCCGAGACAGAGAGGAGGGACGCTTGGCACCGGCTGGGCTCCACCAGCCCGAACTCCCAGGTGTGCCTTCAGCTCTGGCTTTGCCAAGAACAGGCCACTAGGAAATGGGAGGTGGGACATTCCTCCATTCTCCAGCCTGCCAGTGGCCAGCTCAGGAGTTGGGAGCCACAGAGAGAGGGGACGCTGGCACTGGGAGTTAAAAGAGACTCATTTACACTTGTGGCCTTTTGTCTCTATGTCCGTATTTCCCTAAACCTACTTCCTAATGTCTTCCCTGCCCAGGAGAAAGGCTTGATGGCTTTAGATGCTTATAGAAAATTGTATGCTCATTATAAAAAGTTAAAATACAGAAAAGCATAGAAACAATGCAGAAAACCATGCAGAAAAATATTTAAAATTGTGAGAAATCTCATTATTCCTATAGAACACGAACACACACAATTTCAATGTAATCAGTAAACGACTCTATTTCTCAAAGTATGGCCCATAGATCACTATTGTCAAGAGCCTTGGGGGTGACAGTTAAAATGTGAATTCCTGGACTCCATCCAAGATCTATTAACTCACACTCGCTGGGGTTGGGGCCTGGGAATCTGCATTTAACCAGCTTGGCGGCTGATGATGGTGCACGGTTTGAAAACTTGGATCTTGGCTGGAGGAAACAATTAGCACAATTTCTCGGTCATCTTTGGGCAGAGTAGAGAATGCCAATGGGCAAGTCAGCCTGCAACAGGAGAAAGACCAGGCAGGCTGGAGCCAGACGCGTGGGCTCCCCTGCAGCCCATAAGATGGGGATACGGCTCCAGGTTTCATCCTCACTTAAAATGATGGAGATATCGCACGGGGAATGGCCTGCAGGCAGCGGGCTAGAAAATAGACACTTTCTGTCCCCCTTTGTCTGAGGGCTCGTCTCAACAATGGGCACCTCGGGAATGGCTTTGGTCACTGAACTCATGCAGTTGGGAGGAATCTGATTCTCCTGAGAGGTGTCTTGCCTCGGCAGACTGCAGATCCGAATTTCTAGGTGGGAGATTTATTCTCTGATGTCCACCCAGATG